AATATATATATATATATATATATATATATATATATAGTTGGTATAGAAAAGAATCACCCCCCTTTAAAACAAAGGCTGTAATTAAAGCAATATCGCTGTTATATCGTTCACTTGGATGTTATATGTTGCATTAAATAAATACAGCTGGATGAAACAAAAACTGTGTCCGTCTTCATTTCAGGCTGAAAAGCAACAAAATGTGTTTATTTTAAAGGGGGTTGATTCTTTTCTATACCCACTGTATTTTTTTATTATTAATTAAATTCATAATTATTTTATAAATAGTGAATCATTTGAGTCCTTTTTAGTCCTAACAATATAAAAGAAAACACAGTAATTTTGATTGGAGGTTCAATGGGAAAATTGTTATATTTAAAAAAAAAAACAATTTCTGTCAATTCTGGTACTGGATAATGTAGTTTTGGATAATTTGTTCTTTTAATTTTTGATGGATGTGAAAAAAAAATAAATACAATTTTTTTATATATAAATGAAAAAAATAATTTATTCATTCATTCATGCACAGCTGTGACTGCAAATCTGTTAAATTCAAGCCCCATGCATATACCAAATCTACCAAATGGTACAAATGGTTTAGCGGTGTATCTACTATTTGACATATTGCTACTACTTCATTGGAACATTCTGTCATACCACCCACCCTAGTATGAGTGAAAGAGTCTGTGGATGTGTCTGACATACTTGGGCATATATTTACTGGTCTTCCTCCAGGAGAAGCCTGTCACCATACGCGGATGTGCCAGATACACAAATGAGAAATGAACCGCTGAGATCTTTTTATCAGTCACGTCTGGCATCACCACTGCAGACTTCCATCCTGTGGAGGGATACCACACCTTCAGCAGGCAGTCATCCTGAGAGAGATAGAGGGAGAGAAATGGTTTTGCCACCGTAATTTCACATTTTCACACTTGCTGACATGCAAATCACTTTTCTTGTTATGAAAATGAGACAAAATGCAATTACACTTGCAAAAGAACCACATTTGCACCAATCAATATATTTGGACTCCAAAGTATAATATGTTGGGGGGACCAAACCTACATTAGGACCACTGAGTAACTAGTTATAATGCCAAAAGTATACTTCCCTTGTTCGTGTGCCACTCTGGCTCTTGGCCAGTTTGTGTGATGTAATTTTCAATGTCAGCACAATACACAGATGCACATGCACAGCTAGATTTTTGTGTCCGCACACACAACAGTGCATATGCAAGTGATTTAAGGGCTTGAAAAAATGGTCCACTAGATCTGCATTCACGGTCAATGGAACTTACTTTGAAAGGCTTGATCACTGTTGTATTTCAGTAGGAATCCACACAATTGGAAATTTAGCTTGAGCGCAAGCTATTTTCTCATGCAGATTTTGCAACAGGTTCAAGTTGGTCACGCAGATTTGATGCGCTGACCAACAGAAATCTGCTTGGTATGAATGTGACCTCTGTGTGAGCTGTGCTTCATAATGGACAATGGACCTTTTTTGCCCACAAAATTTTGCTAATGTGAACACACCTTTAAGTAGCCATGCTACTAACTTATATTAACATTTACCAGAAGCGTCACAGAAGCGGTTTTAAAATGGTGTGGCTTATTTTTTCCTATGAGTATAGCATGTCACGCTCCTTTCCTCAGAGAATTTCAGTCCAGTTTATTGTAGTAGATCAGTTCTTTTGGGCAGGTTCAGTAAACTGGTTTAAAAAGATCCTCAACAGTCCTTTTTTATCCTTTAGTGAAATATTTAGTTGAATCTTTGTTTCAGCATTGTTTTGTTGTTTCTCATAGTTTTATTAATTGTATGTCAATATATATGTTCAAATACTGTTTTTTACTGTTGTAAAAAAAAAATAGCTTAAACAGTTAGTTTAGCTAATAGACTGTACAGTAGCTAACTACTAGTTTAAAAGGATAGGATTTAACTACTTTGAAGCCATAGCTAACCATGCTACTCATATCCATTAGATTCCCAAATACAGTTTGGCATCTATGTTCATATAGGAACCAAACAATGTCTTATTTTACACATCACAATGATTAAGGTTTCTGTAAGGGATAGGTCTTGTGTGTAGTACTTATAATTAGCATAATTTAAGAACAACTGATGTCCACCATGATATAAAACGTTGTGTGCGGTACCTTTCCAGCTGTGGCGAAGTATTCTCCATCTGGAGACCACTGAGTGATGTGAACAGCAGCAGCAGTTCTGACA